CAAATAAAAAAAATTTTTTTAATTAAAAAAATAAAATACCAGTATATTCTTAAAATTTTTTTTTAAGATTTTAGTTATTTGACAGAGAGAGAGAAAGAGCACAAGGAGGTGGAGCAGCAGGCAGAGGGAGAGGGAGAAGCCCGATATGGGGCTCGATCGCAGGATCTAGAGATCATACCTAAGCCAAAGGCAGATGCCCAACCATATGAGCCACCCAGGCATACCCCCCAATTTTTTAAATAAATGATAAAGAACAGGGAGATTATGAGTTGCCATAGCTGTAAAGTTCATGTATAAAAACCTCTTTTTAATACATGGTCCATGAGGCAAGTGGGGTTTGTTGGTTGTCTACATTGAAAATGCAATTACCTATAACCAGGAAACTGTATTTTTGAGCTCACTCAACATATTACAAAGTGGATAGGAGTAGAATGATTGATGACAAATTCATATTAAATTTCTTTTGTTCTCCAAGCTTCCCCTTGATGTTTATAAATTTCACAAACTTGGCAACGATAAAGGAAATGTTAAAACAATTAAGTTCACTCATATAACACTGCAGTATTTACTACTTTTGGGGCTGCAGTAATGTGTCCATGGATATATTTAACAAAACTGTAACTAAACTGTAGTGATTTTTAAAACTTGACATAATAAACTATTCTCTAACAACAACAGTCTTTACAATATTTATTTTTACTCATTCATTTACTCATTCATTTATTTAGTAGGCTCTATGTCCAGTGTAGAGCCCAACAAGGAATTTGAACTCGAGACTCTGAGATCAAGATCTGAGCTGAGATCAAGAGTCAAACACTCAACCAGCTGAGCCACCCAGGTTCCCCTAATACATACACACACACACACACACGTATATATGTATGTATACATGTATATATAAATTAACTTAAAATTTCTATTTATTTATTTGTCAGAGGGAGAGAGAGAGAGAGAGACAGTGCGTACAAGCAGGGGAAGCTGCAGGCAGAGGGAGAAGCAGGCTCCCAGATGAGCAAGGAGCCCAATGCAGGGCTCCACCCCAGGACCCTGTGATCACAACCTGAGCCAAAGGCAGCAGCTTAACAGACTGAGCCACCCAGGAGTCCCCCCCACAATACTTATTTTTAATGCCCATGAAGTTAATATATCGAAAAAAAAAATTTTTTTTTTTTAGATTTTATTTATTTATTTGACAGAGAGAGATCACAAGTAGACAGAGAGGCAGGCAGAGAGAGAGAGAGAGGAAAGCAGGCTCCCTGCCAAGCAGAGAGCCCGATGCGGGACTCGATCCCAGGACCCTGAGATCATGACCTGAGCCGAAGGCAGCGGCTTAACCCACTGAGCCACCCAGGCGCCCCGAAAACTTTTTTTAAATAAAGATTTTATTTATTTAATAGAGAGAAACAAAGAGAGAGCACGAGCAGGGGGAGTGGAAGGCAGAGGGAGAAGCAGGCTCCCTGCTGAGCAGAGAGCCCGATGCAGGACATCCCAGGATCTTGGGATCATGACCTAAACCGAAGGCAGATGCTTAACCAGTTGAGCCACCCAGGAGCCCCTATCAAAAACTCTTTCATCAAGTCCCTTTTTCTGGAATTTGAGTAGTCTGCTTTTGTTTTTTTATTGTGTTGTTTCATCGTCCCCCCTCCTCTGCAGTTTTATTATAAGCAACTCCACAGTAAACTTTTTGGTGACGAGAGCGATTTGACACTGAGGTCCACCATGTGTCCACCTTAAGTAGACAACACAGGTGGGTGAGTAGAGAACCACCCTTTGGCTAGAATATCCCTTTGGCTAAAAAGCAAGAGCCCTCTTCTCTAGAAGCACAAATACTGATATAGGCCCTCAAAAAGCTAAATTCTGGGGAGCCTGGGTAATGCAGCTGGTTAAGTGTCTGACTTTGAGGTTAGGCTCAGGTCATGACCTCAGGGTTGTGAAACTGAGCACCCCATCAGGGTCCATGATTAGCATGGACTCTGAGATTCTCTCTCCCTCTCACTCTGCCCTTTCCACTCATGTGTGCTCTCTCTCTCTCTCTAAAATATATATAAATAAATCTTGGGGCGCCTGGGTGGCTCAGTGGTTTAAGCTGCTGCCTTCGGCTCAGGTCATGATCTCAGGGTCCTAGGATCGAGTCCCGCATCGGGCTCTCTGCTCAGCAGGGAGCCTGCTTCTCTCTCTCTCTCTCTCTCTCTCTCTGCCTGCCTCTCTGTCTACTTGTGATCTCTCTCTGTCAAATCAATAAATAAAATCTTTAAAAAAATAAAATAAAATAAATCTTTTAAAAAGAGTTCAAAAAATAAAAATAAAAAAGTTCAATTCTGGGGCGCCTGGGTGGCTCAGTGGGTTAAGCCGCTGCCTTCGGCTCAGGTCATGATCTCAGAGTCCTGGGATCGAGTCCCGCATCGGGCTCTCTGCTCAGCAGGGAGCCTGTTTCCTCCTCTCTCTCTGCCTGCCTCTCTGCCTGCTTGTGATCTCTCTCTGTCAAATAAATAAAATAAAATCTTTAAAAAAAAAAAAGTTCAATTCTGATACCATTTCTAAATGTAGCAAAGATAACTTATGTGAGAAGAGTCTCATGACCACCAAGACTACATCAAATTAAATTCCTAACTGACTTATCACTTCTTTTAAAAGAAAACTTTTATAGCATGGAAAATAAATGCCTATTTGTAAGATATGTATGCATTATTTTACCACCAAAAATATTTTATGAATATGAAAAATATTTTTAAAAATAATGATCCAATGCTAAATATTAAAGAGACAGAACTAAATAGCCTACTTTAATAGTGTGAAAATAGTGGAAAGGCGAGTTCACCTACATTTTATTCCTTCAGTTTTCAATTCCTTTCCTTGTTTTTTGTTTCTTATATGAGAGGGGTTTGGGAATTAGATAACTTGAGATGGAAACAAGTGAATATACCGCTTTAAGGTAAATTAGTTCTCAACAGCAAAACAAAAGCTTATTTTCTCACTTCTATATATAGGGGCGCCTGGGTGTCTCAGTGGGTTAAGGCCTCGCCTTCGGCTCGGATCATGACCCCAGGGTCCTGGGATGGAGCCCCCAGTCGGGCTCTCTGCTCAGCAGGGAGTCTGCTTCCTCCTCTCTGCCCACCTCTCCACCTAACTTGTGATCTCTGTCAAATAAATAAATAAAATCTTAAAAAAAAAATAAAATCTATCTATAAATAAATAAAATATATATACACATATATATTACATGGACAGAAACACAAAAATATTTCTATGTGTACTGAACTCACTTTGAATTTATGAAACAGCAAATTGCTTCCATGTCTCTTTCCTATAACGGGTAACTTAGTTATACAGAATAATATAAGGTATTTACTACTGTTTATTCATATTATGATTATGTCAAATACTAAAGATACTATAACAACATTCTGGGAGCTTATTTCTGGATATGTAACCACATATCACCTTTTGAACACCAGTTTGCTCTGTTTAAAGAAGAAACAAGGGGTGCCTGGGTGACTCAGTCAAATGTCTCATTCTTAATTTCAGTCAAGACCTCAGGGTTGGGTGCCTGGGTGGCTCAATGGGTTAAAGCCTCTGCCTTCGGCTCGGGTCATGATCCCAGGGTCCTGGGATCCAGCCCCGCATCGGGCTCTCTGCTCAGCAGAGGCTGCTTCCTCATCTCTCTCTCTCTGCCTGCCTGTGATCTGTCAAATAAATAAATAAATAAAATATTTTTTAAAAAAAATCTCAGGGTTGTCAGATTGAGCCCCACGTGGGACTCCTCGTTGGCAAGGAGTCTGCTTAAGATTGTATGTCTCTCTCCCTCAACCCCTCCTGGCTTCTAAAAAAAACTGGGATAGGTACCTGGGTGACAGTCAGTTAAAGCGAGACTCTTGATTTCAGCTCAGGTCACGATCTCAGGGTTGGGGGACTGAGCCCTGTGTCAGGTTCCATACTCAGCTGGGAGTCTGTTGGGATTCTCTCTCTCCCTCTGCCACTTCCCGAATCCCCCCCCAACACAGATTCTCTCTCTCTCTCTCTCAAATAAATAATAAATAAAAAGAAAAGGGGGGGAGGGAGTGAAGATAACACTTCAAAGAAAAAGCAAGTTGTGAAAAACACTAAGGCTGCTCCAGTGTGCTAATTTATACAGATGGAGATCCAAATTCAGGACTCTAGAGAAAGTTCTTCATTACTTGCATACAAGCAATTCAAAGACAACGTTGCTCTGTTTCTAGAGCAAAGGAGCTTCCCAATATACACCAGGCCAATAAAAGGACTACATAACTAATGCTGTAAATTTTAAAAAGCAATTTTATGTTTGGGCCACAGGTTCAATAAAATGAAACCACATCAGAGCCTTATTACAATGAAAAATATTACAGAACAGTAAAGGAGTGGACTCTAAGGATATTTTATAGGATCCTGACATAAGTATCCTGAGAAACAAAATGCATCATTCTACCATCCTTACAGATTAGCCCAAGGCTAAGTACATTTCATCAACAAAACTAGAAATGATTCCCTCAGGCTGGTGAATTTGTCCAAGAGAAGAACCTCACCTTGGATTCATTCTCAAAGAGATTCTCAACTGTTCTGCAGCAATTCCTAAAAGTAGGCCAGTCCAAATGTAGTAGGATAAATTCCCCTAAAAAGCTCAATTTCTGATCATAGCAACAGATGATCATTACTGTGATGCTAGAGGATAGGCACACAAATTAATTTGTATGACTTTATATACTAATTTTTTAAAATGCAAGTCTTAACACATAGGCTTTATAATCTTAGCAATAAGGAACAAAGGTTTAAAACTGTATTGTTAAATATAACATACACTGGTAATATAAAACTACCCTCAATTTTGAACAATTAAACTAGAGATTACTAAAAGTGGGGAACCATGAATACTCCCTTGTGGCTACAGACTAACTACAGCATATGGAGATATAAAGGTTATTTTAAAGGACTGTATCTGAAAAGTATATCTTCAGAGAAATTCATTCACATCATATGTCTCTTACCTCATAAATGTTGGGGTGCCACATTTTGGTCAAGAATCTGAAGGTAGGTGGTGAATATGGGTAGTCAATAGGAAATTTAATATGCGCCTGAAAAGAGAAAAAATGAAATGCTAATAAATCAGACTACAGGTTTTTCATCTGCTAATAATTCACCTTATTATATCCCAACGAAACAAAACTCCTTTCTACAGAGTAGATTCTTAGGATTAACAACTGCTCGTATGTATTTTGTTAGCCCCAATGTCAGAGTTATTATTAGCACATTCTTACAGCATCTCCTCAAATATTTATATGAGCTTATGTTAATAACCAAAATTCAAAAGCCATACAATTTTTAATTAAACTCATATGAGTGAAAAACAGTATCAGTACAGGTGTGTTGCACTAATTTTACCGCACTTTATCACAAAAAATAATTACCACCACCTTATGGGGTGCATAATACAGAACAAAGATAATTTTTAACTCACCTAACTACCACCCAGAAATAATAAAAGCTACCATTTTTTTGATCATGCATTATCCTTTATTAGCATAAATGTATTATTTGTTTCATGGGTACAGACCTGTGATTCATCAGTCTTACACAATACATAGTGCTCACCTTAACACATACCTCCCCAATGTCCCTCATCCAACCACACCACCTCTCCCACCCTCCTCCCTTCCAGCAACCCTCAGTTTGTTTCCTGAGATAGAGTCTCTTACGATTTGTCTCCCTCTGGTTTTGTCTTGTTTCATTTTTTCCCTTTCTTCACCTATTATCCTCTGTCTTGTTTCTCAAATTCCACATATCAGTGAGATCGTATGATAACTGTCTTTCTCTGAAATGCTACTATTTTGATACAGCTCCTTCCAGCAGTTTTTTTTGGTGTATACATGTTTATTTCCTTACAAAACTTATTTTCAAAAATTCAAATATACTGCATTTTATACTCTTCTCCTGTCTATAATCATACATTTTCCTACAAAACAGTCTCTGAATTCATAGCTGTTAGTGACTATGTAACGTTCCATTATATGAATAAATAGACAAATCATTTAAAAAAACGATTTCTGTATTTTGAAACATTTAGGTTGTTTTCACTCTTTTGCTATTATAAATAACTGCAGTGACTGTCCTTGGCAGTATTCCATACTTCAAATACGAAAAACCCAAAAAGATCCTCATCTAACAGTATACTAGAAGAGCCTGTGGAAGAGACAGAAAGGACAAGCTAAGAGTAAATAAGTTAAAACCAACATGGCATGTCAAGACACTTAAAATTTCTTTCTTCAATAAAAGCAATGAGAAAATTGGCAAGAATTTTAAGAATGAATTTTTAGAATGTAGAAAATAACCAAAGGTTTGTAGGAATTCAAAGAGCATCTATTTAAGAAAAAGAGCTGACCCTCAATAAGAACAGTGAACATTGTGGTGTTTTAACTTGCCCTAGTCCCATGCCTGCCCTCCAGAGCTATGGTAACTTTAAAACTAACAAATCACATTCAAAGTGAAGACAAGCAGCCACAATGTGCTGAAATTTTTTCAAAGCCTTAATCTCCAAGAATTGTTACTTATCTGACCTTTTTAATGGTTCTCTAGAAAAATTCACTTGCAAGGTTGTCTATATTTGACCTAATCTGTACCTTGGACTGCGTGAAAATAATTTTCTTGGGTGTGTTTGTTGACAACAATGATAGACAAATACTGAACTTCAAAGCTGCCTATTGGGTTGAACAACAGACTAACCAAAAAATTTAATAAGGGCTTTGAAAAACTCTAACAAATTCCTAAGAATCTAGAAGACTTGGCTCATGTGCAGTGCTATGCATATGCCCAGGCTATACACATGCTCAGGAAAGTCATGAGAATTCATTAGAAGGTCCAAAACTAGTATCTTTGGCTGAACGTGAAGGATCTGCACAAGGAGGAACTAAAGGCTAAGGCAAAGTTCAAAACTGCCTAGGTGAGTGTTAAGGCATGCTTCAACATGCACACACAGCTGCTCTACAATGCCCAGGGAACTTGTTGGTTCCAGGAAATCAAATCAAACTAAGGAAATCGCTGTTCAATCATTAGCTCATCACTTAGCTAACAAAGTGGAGACTTTTCAGGCCGAACAAGAATATAGACAAAACAGAATCAGGTCAGAAAACTAATTAAGCAAGGAAACAGTAACAATAAACAGCAACAAAAAATATTTTGTTACCTCATTTTATTACTTAAATATCTATCTAGTTTTCAACACACTACTATAGAACATGGGAGGAAAAAAAAAAACACCTTACAAACTATGGCCCATACAACAGGGTAAAAAAACCAATCAACAGAAACTGGAAGCCCACTGCTCCCTCTCCCACTGCCTTGCTTATGTTCCCTCTCCCCCTGCCTTTGCTTATGTTCCCTCTCCCCTTGTGTCTCCGTCAAATAAATAAATGAAAATCTTAAAAAAAAAAAAAAAAAAGAAAGAAAGAAAGAAAAGAAAAAAGAAAAAGAAACTGGAAGCCCAGATACTGAATTTACCAGAGAAGCCCTTAAATCAGCTGAATTAAATGTTTAAAGAATTAAAGGAAACCATGGCTAAAGAACTAAGGAAGTATGAGAAAAAAGGTATTTCAGCACACTGCGAAAATCAATAAAGAGAAATTACAAAAATTAAACTGAACAGTTTTTTGAGGAAAAAGACAAATATGATTTTGTGGGGTGCAAGAGTACAATAACAACAACAAAAAGCTAGATGGGCTGAACAGTAGCTCTGAATAAGATGAAAAAAGAATCTGTGAAACTGAAGGTAGGTCAATTTAGATTACTCCATCTAAAGAAATAAAACTGTGACTCAGAAACCAGTATATGCATTACTGGGAATCCCAGCAGGAGAGGAAACAAATGTACTCCCCACAAAATCTGACAAAATAATGACCCCAAACATCCAAATTTAATGAAAGACATTAAGTCTCATAAACAAGAAGTTCAACAACTGGCAGTAGACTAAACTCAAAGAGATCCACATCTATATATATCATAAACAAACTGTTGAAAGCCAAAGACCATCTTGAAAGCAGCAAGCGACACAATCAATCATGCACAAGGTAGCCTCAATATTATTAGACAGATAACTTCTAATCAGAAGCCAGAACACAGTGCTGAAAGAACAAAATTTATCAACCAAAATTTCCATATCCAGTAAAACTATTCCTCAAAAAATGAAGGTGAATTAAGACATTACTAGACAAATGAAAACTAAGAACTCATAATTAGCATACATTATAAATTTTTTGGTTTATAACTTTTTCTCCTATCTGATTTAAAAGACAATTACATATTGTAATAATTATAAATCTGTTGATGGGCACATAATGTATCAAGCTATACTCTGTGTGGCTAAAGGGAAGGGATCAGATCAAAGAAGCAAAATTTTCAAATTTTTATTTTTTAATTCCAGTATAATTAACATACAGTGTTATATTAGTTTCAGATGTATAACACAATGATTCAACAATTCTATATATTACACAATGCTCATCACAAGAAGTATAGATACTCTTAATTCCCTTCACCTTATTTCACCCAACCACGCCCACCTCAGGTAACCACCAGTTTGTTCTCTATATTTAAAAGCCTACTTTGTTTCTTAAATTCCACATATGAGTTAAATCACATGGTATCTGTCCTTCTTTGACTTATTTCACTTAGCATTATACCCTCTAGATCAATCCATGTTGTTACAAATGGCAAGTTTCATGCTTTCTTATGGTTAAGTAATATTACATTTGTGTGTGCGCACACCCCCCACATTCTTTTTTTGTGCACATGTATATGTATATACACACATTCTCTCTCTTTTTAAAAGATTTTTATTTATTTCTTTGGAAGAGAGAGAGAGAGCACACTGGAGAGAAAGGCAGAGGGAGGGAGAAGCAGGCTCCCCGCTGAGCAGGGAGGACCCTGGGATCATGACCTGAGCCAAAGGCAAATGCTTAACCAACTGAGCCACCCAAGCACCACACCCCATACTCTCTAATATCCATTCATCTTGGATGGACACAGTGTCGCTTCCACATATGGCTACTGTAAATAATACTGCAATAAACCCAGGGGTATATATTTTTTTCTGAGTTAGAGTTCTCATAGTCTTTGGGTAAATACCCAGTGGTGGAATTACAGGATCATATGGTGATATGGGAGGCTCAGTCGTTAATCATCTGCCTTTGGCTCAGGTCATGATCCCAGAATCCTGGGATCAAACCCCATATCTAGTTCCCTGCTCGGCAGGGAGCGGGCTTCTCCTTCTCTCACTCCCCCTGCTTGTGTTCCCTCACTCACTGTATCTCTCTCTGTCAAACAAATAAAATCTTAAAGAAAAAAAAAGATTTTTTAATTTATTTGACAGAGAGAGAGAGAGCACAAGCAGGGGGAGAGGGAGAAGTAGGCTCTCTGCTCAGCAGAGACGTGGGGCTCAATCCCAGGACCTTGAGACCATGACCTGAGCCAAAAGGCAGACAGAGGCCTAACCAACTGAGCCACCCAGGTGCCCCATTTTTAATTTTTTAAGGAACCTCCATAGCGTTTTCCACAGTGGCTGCACCAGTTTGCATTCCCATCAACAGTGCACAAAGATTCCTTTTTCTCCATAACCTCTCCAACACTTGTTCTTTCTTGTGTCTTTGATTTTAGTCATTTTGACAGGGGTGAGGTGATATTTCATTGTGCTTTTGGTTTGCATTTCCCTGATGATTAGTGATGCTGAACATCTTTTCATGTTCTGTTGGCCAACTTTAAGTCTAGAAGCAAAATTTTTGTATACTATTGAAATTAAGATGGTGTTACGTGATCTACTATAGTTACAAGATGTTGATTGTAGTCCCCAGGACAATCACGAGAATAACTCAAAAATTGAATACCCCTTCACGATTTAAAACACCCAAAAAGGGAATACAAGGTAAATTCCTCAATTTGATGAAGAATGTTGATTTTAAAAACCCTAACTAACATACTTAACAATGAAAGACTGAATGCTTTTCTCCTAATTTCAGTAACAAGACATGGATGTCTGTTCTCTTCTGTACTTCTGTTCAAAACTACACTGAAGAGGGGCACCTGGGTG